TATATATATATATCTTCAGGTACACTTCGAGAGTTTTCTGCTTTTGTTAATTGAGTTTGAATGTAAGCAGTGTTTAGACGCAAGCAATTTATTTATCTAGTCAAGGAAATACTAGAAGGATTTTTTATAGAAACTTCAAAAGAAATATATATAAAAGTAGAAGATAACTATATATGACAAATCTACATATATAAAAGAAGCCGAGTTGTTCAAAAGTAAATAACGTCGTTTATGTATATATGATTTTGTTATATATATACATACATGCGTCGATTGAATTCTAATAGGACTTTCCCTGAAACGTAAAGTTTATAAGTGCAACTCCGAGAGTTTAATTTACTTGACCGCTACCAAGCACGTGTTGTGATTTAACAACTTGTAATGGAATCATTGAAAGGCATTGAACTAAATTTGATCGAAACACATTACCTATATGCATTAATTAAATTGGTTGAAATGGTAGCGCATAAGCACGTTTGAGAGAAGTTGTTCTACTGCGGCAAATTATAAAAGCCATCGTGGCCTGAGCCTGACACATTATTTAGTCTTGGTCAAATACCCACATTTTTAATAACATTTTAACCTCCAAGAACGGGTCCAATCTGAATACGGCATCTTCATGCTGCATTAAATACCAATCACATCGTTGGGTGGCATGCACGTTTCGCTTAGAGCATTAGTCTTGCAAATGGCATCATCTCAGGTTAGTGCTTTTGGGAGCTCTCATTCTGTTCTTGGCGTGATGGACATGGCCAAGAAACCAGAAATGGAAATACCAGAAATGTATATTCGCCCTCAAGAACCTACCATTTTATCAGATGAAACCACTCCCTCGCTAACCATTCCCGTTTTTGACCTGAACACCTTGCTACATGAAAATGCTAGAGATGCTGAACTTGACAAGTTGTACACAGCATGCAAAGATTGGGGTTTCTTTCAGGTTTGTACCCCAACATATATCCTCAATTAACTTATTATTAATGATTACTTTTCCATGTTACAGCAATATAATTGACTAGGTATGGCTGTTAGTGTTAGTTAACTACTGAATAATTTTTGTTTTAGCTGGTCTTATATATATATGAGAGAACATTGTCTATTTATTGTGCAGGTTGTGAACCATGGAGTTAGCTCTCAACTGCTGGAGAAGCTGAAACTTGAGATTGAGAACTTTTTCAAGCTTCCCATTGAAGAGAAAAAGAAATACCAAATCAGGCCAGGAGATGTTCAAGGTTATGGAACTGTGATCAGATGTAAAGAGCAAAAGCTTGACTGGGGTGACAGATTCTACATGGTGGTCAACCCTGTTGAAAGAAGAAAGCCATATCTTCTCCCTCAGCTCCCTTCATCCTTGAGGTCCTTCAATCAACCTCCTTCTCAAATAAGAAAAATAACTTAGATGTAGTTTCTTACATATTTTATACCCTCCTCCAATCACAAATTATTATATAGTAAATTTCTGATTGATCGACAGTTTAAAACTAGTACATACTAAAAGTTCTAATAAATAACCGTTAAATCCGTTGAGCAGAAGTAAACTAAACGAGTTTGTATATTTGTGAAGGGATAGCTTGGAGTCATACTTGAGAGAATTGAGGAAGCTTGGTATGAGACTTCTTACATTATTAGGAAAAGCCATAAGCATGGAGATGAAAGAAGTGGAGGAGTTGTTTGATGATGGGATGCAGTCGGTAAGGATGACGTACTATCCACCATGCCCACAACCAGAGCTTGTTGTAGGGCTCACTCCACACTCTGATGCAACAGGCATAACCATCCTTCACCAAGTCAATGGAGTGGAGGGTCTGGAGATAAAGAAAGGTGGGGTTTGGATTCCTGTGACCTTTCTACCAGATGCTTTTGTAGTTAATGTTGGGGACATTATGGAGGTGTGTCATGCTTTTCTCTCCTTTTTCATTCTTTTTTCTCCATTTTTTAATCATATTATGCACGTGGCCTATTCAAATTAGTCCTAGGATATAGTAATATAGTATCATAAATAACTCTTGTTTTCTGCACCAAACTTACATTATTCCCAATAATTCCGGTCACTATACATATGTACGTACCTTTATTGCTTAAATGGATAAATCCAAATTCAAGTAATATCGATAATTAAAACTAATAAAGATCTACTTATTATCGCATTTTAACACAATTGTATTCTCAAAAGTCAATTTAGAAACCCCAAAACCATTTGTTAGTTAACAAAAAAGGAATTGATATAAAAAAATAAAGAGACTTGCTCTTTTAAAAGGAGACTTATTTAACTCTCTTGATATAAAAAAAAATGTACAACCATTTAAATTAAAATGTTTTAAAAATTTAACATAGGTTAAAATAAATATATCTTTGTTAGACTGTATATCACAGAGAAGTCAAATATATCTATCTAAATGATAGTACCTCCTTATCCATAAGGACCATAACTGAAGCTTTCGGTGATCTTGCAGATTCTCAGCAATGGGGCCTACACCAGCATAGAGCACAGGGCTGCAGTGAACAAAGAGAAGGAGAGAATTTCGATTGCTATGTTCTTCAATCCCAAATTTGAGGCAGAGATTGGGCCTGTGAAAAGTTTATTAAATTCTGAAAACCCACCTTTGTTCAAAAGCATGCTCATGGAAGATTACTTCAAAGACTTCTTTTCCAGCAATCTTAATGGGAGGTCACACTTGGAGAAAATGAGAGTCAAAACTTTTGACTTGGTAAAAGATTAAAGTTAACTAGATATATATATCATCAATATCCTTTTGTCTGCATGCATATTGTATATAGTTAATTTATTACTCAAACCCTAATAGTGCACCTTTTCTACAGTTAAAGTTGATATAGGGATGAACTTAATTGTGTACGTAACTCATATATTTTACTCTTGTATATTAAAAGGATGTCTTATATATTCTATATTATGAATTTATAAGTTTGAGTCAATTGAGAAATCCTGTGAAATAAAATTACTTATAAATTCATTCGGACCGATAAAACAAATACAATTGGAAAAGTTACTATAGAAGGAAAATTCTGGCCGCAGCCTCGTCTCAATCTATTCATAAACTTGATTACAAATCCATATTATGACGATCTTTTTCTTTTATATATACTATCGCGTACGAGACGAAAGGAGGTTTAACATAAAAATATTTTTTTTTTCAAAGAAATGTATTAGATAAGGGGGAATGTACATGATACCAAATGTATGTCAACCTTTTACAAGACATAATATTTATCAACCTGTGTATTCTTCAAACATGCCAAATGATTCCTTTACCACTTAAAAAAATGAATAAATGAAAATTTCTTTAGTGTTTAACTATATGACTAATATCTAAATTATCGAATCAAACATATGCATATTCAATGTTATCTATCTCATTATTAAAAATCTATACAAAAGCAAACCAAACAAACTGCCAAGCCTTATTTAGTTTCTTTTCCAACCTTTATACAAGATACCATACGTATGTCAACCATTTTATAAGGCATAATATTATCAACCCTGCGTACTCATCAAGCATGCGAAAGGGTTCATTGACCACTCAAAAAAAATCAAATAAAAATCTTTTGGTGGTTAACCATAACTAATATCTAAATTTTATCAAATCAAACACATATTCAATGTTATCATTCTCCATGTGGATGTTAGTTTTCTTCAAATTGATTTTCATTGTATTCAATCAAATATCGTTCTCCATGAAAATGCTAAGACATTAGATGGTACAAGTATGCCCCAAAAATAGCAACAAAAAAAAGTTTTAATAGGTTCCTTTGTTCTTAAAATAGTGCATGATCGAGTTAATTTTATTAAGTACTCCCCTATAGCTATAAGTCTATCATCAATATAATGTCTAAATTGTCTTATCTTTATTTATATATTTTTAATTATTTTATTTCTATTCAACATGAAATTTGATTTTTTTTTCAATAATTTTTATGAAATATTCTTATCCAGCCAGTTTTCTTGATTTCCTCCTCCACAAATATTTCTTAAGTCTCTCCATCGCACTATAAGACAGAGACAACCACCGAATTAATGTTACGTGTTTTTTATTTTCATATGGACAATTTTTTGCTAAACTTTTATACAATTTATTTCGAAGTCATTCCTCCTTAGAGTTCACCCCTACTAGAATACCCAAGTCCAAAAATAGAATTGACATTGATCTACAATTCAAAAGTGAGGGTTAACTTTTTGTTATAATCCTCTCACCTCTATGCTATTCAACTTATTCTTAAAGAAGTTAACCTTAATTAAATCTATAAATTATTTCAAGGCATCTATAATAACCACGTTCTAGAATGACATTACAATATTTGTCATCATAACCAAACTTTTTCAATAATGCAATAGAATTTTTTTTTCCAACTCATTATCATTAGCATGAGAAGACACATGTTATGAAAGAAAAACTCTTGTATATACATAATTATAGCTAGGGGATTTTTCGATATTAAAATAAGAGAATTCAAAGTTCTTTTTAATCAGAATAAATCTTTTCCGTTATCTTTAAAGTATATAGATTTGGAATTCGATTCTTAATTTAATGAAAGAAATTTATTATAGAAAAAAGGTGAATTTTAAAAAATATTAAATTATTATAGATGTACAAGTGTAATATTAACCGTTATTTTCACTAATATATAATTACGTTTTAAAATAATAACAAATACTCTTCTTTATTATTCTTCAAATAAAAAAAATTACTAGTACTTTAAAAGAACTAAATCAATATATATGTATGCGTCAACAAATTATGTTTTGAGATTTGGCCCTATGATTCTTTTCCATTTTTTCGACACGATAGCATGATTCTTCCTTTAATTAACTTTTGATATCAGATTGCAATATCGCAGCCCGCAAACCTTAGTGGCCAACTCACGTCATTCTATTAATTAATAAGTGAACGTACACATGTCCACTACGTAGTTTCATAAAAGATTATATTATTCTTCCCTTTACAATATTTAAATTGTATTTTTTAAAATATTAATATGTACTACAATTTTATCTATTTTATGATAAACTAGTCTTTGATTTCTTTGTACAATTTTGCATATTTGCTTTTGGGTTTATGACTTTAAAATATAAATAAATTTTTTAAGGGAAAACCCAAGTCAAATTTTGCATATAGATTTATGACGAAGAGATTGAAATTTATCTTTAATACAACGAGAGGTAGCTAGTATGGATTTTTTTTATTTCATTATTGCGAAAAAAATTATTTTATACTACATATAATAAAGTTAAAAGTCATATAAATGTTGAAACATATACATATTAATTTCATTAACCAAACACAAATGACAAATGTATTATATTTTTTCAAGAAATATTGGATCTGAAAAAACATAAGTATAAAAGACATACCCATACCTCAAGACACACCCACAGGTGCGTCAATACGTAGTGGGCGGATCAAACGTCTTTTCAATCCAGAGGTGCAGAATTTGGGTAATACATTAAATTCAAATTTTATTACTGTCGTTGACACTAAAAAAATAAATAGAAAAAAAATTCTAGAGCTGTTTAATTTTGTTTAGGATTTAATTTTTTTAAATAGTATTTAAATAAATGTATTCTCTTTTTAATTTAAGTTCTTTTCTTTTCTTTTCCTCCTCATTTTCTTTTCTAAATTAATAGGGTAAATTAAATCTACAGTTTTTTTAAAAATTTTAAAAATATTTCAATATTTTATTTATTTATTGATTCAAATTAATGTAAATTCATAAAAACATATTCTACATCATAGGTTAGTGGATACAATACCACCAAGTGTGATGATAAGGTAGTATGAGATTGTTTCACTAAAACCAATAATTTCAAGCTTGAATTCTAGTATATAAAATCATGTTAAATACTTAAAAAGAAAGTTTTACAATACATAATGATCTTATTCAACTTAAGGATAACTGACATCAATAATAAGAAGACTTTTTCTATCATGTACAATTTTGCATAAGTTAAAAAACATTAAATTCTCACTTTCAAAGCATTTTTCTACCTAATTATTGAGACTCTAAAAATACAAATTTCTCACTTATTTATTTAACTTCTCTTAAAAAAAATGTATTCTATTGTTACTCAAAGTAAAGCCCTTCATGCATTCTTATTCTTTCTTCCGAAAAAAAAAGCATGTTAATTTAATCAATTATTATTCGTAAAGTTTAGAAAAGGGAGTAAAAAAATTATTTTGTTAAATAAATAAATTAGAAGGCTCTATATTATTACCTCATACTATTGCATAAATAAAAGTCATGTTACCACATGTATCTGTTTCAAAAAAAGATTAAATAAAAACAAAAGAAAAGTAGTTACAGAAAACCGTCACAAGAGATACGAGAAATTAGGGGTGTTCATGGATCGGTTTTTTCAAAAAACCGATCCAAACCGAACCAAACCGTTTTATAAAAGTGGATCGGTTAACCGATCCATTTTTTATAAAGTGGATCAGTTTGGTTTTTTTAAAATATGGATCGGTTTTTTTGAAATTGGATCGGTTTGGTGCGGTACAGTTATCCACTTTTTTACTCATATATGGATCGGTTTTTTTAGAAAACCAAACCGAACCAAACCGATCCACTTTGTAAAAATGGATCGGATAACTGAACCGGTTTTATAAAGTGGTTCGGTTCGAATTTTTTTTCAAAATGGATCGAATTTTTCAATATGGATCGGATCGGTTATGGATCGGTTCGGATCAATTTGGATTTTTTGCACACCCCTACGAGAAACCTACATAAGAGAACAAAGGGAATAAAAGCAATCCATCGCTAACAAAAGAAGTTAAATAAATATGAGTGAAAATTTTATATTGTTTCAAAGTTTCATAATTAATTAGATAAGGAGAATGATTTGAAAGTGAATTTTAATGATCCTTATCGAGGAGAAAATGAAGAACAACTCTTATAAATCATTTCACTTTGTCTCGCACTTTAAATTTTCCAAACAATGAAATAACACCTATAATTCATTTCATTCCTATCCATTCCACCTTATTATGTTTTGATTCATTTAATTTAGAAGTAAGTATATGAGTCAAAATCTATGACAAGCCCATTAAGCTTGCAACCCATGAATTACAATCCCATTTTTTTTTTAAATTTGTTTGTCCATATCAAATTTTTAGTGACATGTGAAATCTATAAGTTTCGGAGGCTTAATTTGTGATGTTCACATGCTAACTCGTTTGACAATAATAAATTTCTTTGTACACCATGTTTTAATTTTTTTTTTTTGAAACACTGACTTTGATATTTAGACTTTTAAATTTTTAAGACATTAAGATTTTGATATTTAAGTAGTGTATTTAAATATTTAAATTTTAAGACATTAAAATTTTGATATATTAAAACTTTGATATTTTATTTAAAATGTTTGATTTTATTACAAATGTGTTTATAACGACATCGATGTAACTTTAACTAAGTGTTACACCGCTCAATAACTTTATATTAAATGTGAATTTTATAAATTCAACCGTTAGATTGAAAGTTCATATTTCTAAGATGATTTGATACTTCATTCTCATAAAACAAAATTGACGTAATATATACATTTCAAAATATACTAAAATATGAACATTTTGATTACCTTCAAGTTGTTCAATTTTAACAAAATTTGGCATATATGATCTAAGAGATATGAACTTTCCATCTAACGGTTGGATTTACAAAATTCACATTTAATATAAAATTATTGAGCGGTGTAACACTTAGTAAAAGTTACACCGGTGTCGTTTGAACCCTCCTCATATATATATATATATAAGCATTCCCTCCCCTCACGTAATGAATGACTGAGCTGAACCTCCCAATCTTGATCCAACAGTTGAGGCACTTGGTTCACAAAAGGAGCATGAGGATGGAAGGACTGAACTCCTTGATTGATTAACTCCAAAGTTGTCTTAGCGTGTGTTTGCTTATACGTTGAAAATGTGGAAAACCACGTTCAACGTAGAAGCTATTACTAATAGCTTCTACGTTGAACGGGGGTTTTCACATTTTCAACGGATAAGCAAACACACGCCAAGACAC